AAGTCTGCCAAGGACAAGACCGCCCCGGCCACGGACAAGTCTGCCAAGGACAAGACCGCCCCGGCCACGGACAAGTCTGCCAAGGACAAGACCGCCACGGACAAGTCCGCCAAGGACAAGACCGCCCCGGCCAAGGACAAGCCCGCCAAGGACAAGCCCGCCCCAGCCAAAGACAAGCCCGCCACCCCCACCTCAAGCAAATCCACTCCCGCCTCTACCAAAGTTGCCCCTTCCTCGGGCAAGTCTGCCTCAGCCACATCCAAGTCTGCTGCCGCTCCAACCAAAACCTCAGCAGTACCCACCAAGTCTGCCCCACTTCTTGAAGCTGTCACTAAAGATGTTCCCGTCATGGCTGTACCCCCAGTGGGTTCTAGTGCACCAAAAGCCCAGGAGCCCAAGAAGAAGGCCTCCAAGAAAAAATCTGAGAGTGGTAAGTCTGAGGACAAGCATTTCTGTTTACCATCCTGTTTTAAACATCACTCGTAGCAAACTACCAGTATATTTGACCATAGCTGCTGCTAGCCAATTACTTAAAGGTCCTATGCCATTACATGTTTGTGTTTTATGCCTAATATTGGTCAAAAGGAGTCTGCGAGACAGTTTAAATTTGACATCTATATAGTTTGTTGTTTGCGTGCCATCACCTTTGAAAGGCAAAGGGTTATACAATACAATATATATTTAATTATATCGCGCTTTCATAACAGCTGCAGCTGTAACAAAGCATTTTCAAGAATAGTTAACATAAAATAACAAAATACGTAATATAACAACACATAACATAAGATATGGAAAGTCATGCAGTAGTTACCACTATTCCTGCATACGTCTTGTTGTTTTAAGTATTCTAGATGAAAGAGGAGAGAATCACTTAGTTCTTTTACCAGTGGGTCAGAGACGTCACACTCAAAACGTGCATGACATCCCACATGTCTGCTACAAGCTAAGTTTCAAAGTAAACAAGAAGCTGGTAGTGTCCATTGATGGAAAAAAGAGATTTGTTTACTTCTTAAAGGTAATGCTCTGTCAGTGCAGCTGGTGCTCTTGCTATGGGGAAGTGCTGCCAGCAGTAGTGCTGAGTTGCTTCTGTGGAGAGCAGAGAGCATGACAAGCTTGTTTAAACATGGTTGCCCCGTTTGCCCTTCATGAGTGCAATTCTCAAGTTGTCTTTGCCCGGTGCTACCATTTCACCTTGAACCAAAGTAGCACCGATTTAAGACAATCTGAAGATTCATTTGAACTCCCAAGTACGGCCGTGAACATTATTTCTGCCATTTCATTTCTACCACTTTATTACTTTGTCTGAACAGTGGAAGCCGTGGATTCAGCTGACACTCCGCTATATCTACCCTACAAGACTTTGGTTTCCACGATCGGCAACATGGTGTTCAGTGAGGGAGAAGCTCACAAGCTCATTGACATGTTGTCTGAGAAAGCTGGCATCATTCAGGACACCTGGCACATGGTACGGAATGAGACATTGTGTAGTTGGTGTTTGCGTAGCTTGCACCGAGGAATGCAAGTCTTAGTCTGCTTCCTTTGCATTTGCAGGCCACTCAGAAAGGAGACCCAATGGCCATCCTGAAGAAACAATTGGAGGAGAAACAAAAACAGTTGGGGGCTCAACAAGAAGACTCCTCTGCAGCAAAGAACCGACTGAGAGATCTCACTAAGGTTAGAGCATCTCTTGTCCCTCATCTTTTTCTGTAGCCCTCGTGGTTAAACTAGGAATGCGGGATTGGTTGAGAGAACAGTCAATAATGGAAGCCAACTGAGGCCGGCAGAGCGGCAGAATAAAGGATTGAAATCTCCAAGAAAGCGCCTTTATTTAATGCAACCCAGAGCATGACACTTTTTACTGCAGTAGGAGCCGAAAATGGCCAGCTTTTCCTTGTAATCCGCCGGATGTTGCTGTGCCATGGTCGTCCTTACCCAGATGGATCGATGGCACTGTTTCAAAAACAAAATCACCCAGTACCATGGATTAGTTGATCATGAATTGTCTCGCTACTGCTCGATTCCCATGGTCCTCTGCGTAACTGATAGCTTCCAGTTTAAACTGTGCTTCAGAAGCGTATTTCTTCGTAGGTGTCTCTTTGTATTTTTGGGGATGTTTTTTTACACAGTGTACGTACTATGTACTATATTCACCTACTGGGGCCATGCCTTTCGCGTCCTCTTTCATGCCCACCTTTCCCACTACAACGTCCGCATGCAGTCCTCAGCCTTTCCTCTCTATAACAAGGGTGTTGGCACAACATCAGTCAGTCAAGCGGACCCCTCATCAAAGTCACACAAAAGCATTCGCAGATTTTGGAACTCTGTGCATACACAAGATGCCCCGTCCATTTTGGAGAAAATTTATGACTTGCGAGTGCGCCCTAGGGTCATGAAAATATGGTATTACGTGAGAAATTGCGGAAGTCATTATTTTTCCCTCGAGGTGACACAAGAGGAAAGGTCATGCATACTCCAAAATCTCACCGTAGTTGACCTCAGATAAAATTGCATATAATCTTTATTTAAATTTAGCAACATCCCTGGATGTCTGTCATATGCACTTTAAAATTCCTTTCTTCTTCTTGAATTTTATGTACATTTTGCTTCACTGTTAAAAACCTGGGCTGTTATAGTGTAAAACGCCTATTCATTGAATTCATTGCAATTTGCTTAGAAAGTGTTTGTCCATTATCAGAACCAAATCACAGTCGTCACCACACAACCCCGATGGAGATGATTCGAAAATCGAAGGAATGCTGTCGGACCCTGTGCTCCTTTCGACACCTGACAGTGCTTGCAACTCTTTCTGTGCTCACAGGAGCTGGCTGCCGAGAAGTCCAAAGTGGCCAGTGTCGAGACTAGGCTGAGCTCCCAGCTAAGCAAGCGGGAGCAGGAAATGATTGCTTTACAAGCTCGCATGCAGGCCAGCTACCAGGACCATGTGGCACAAACCCAGAAGCTCAATGCAAAGGTATTGTGATATTCCTCCAATTTAGAGTCAGGATTGGTACATTTTAGCCTGCAGTTCAAATTTAAATATTCTGCTGTGAAGTTTTGATATATGATCCAGTGCCACACAATAGAGTTTCTAACATGACTCATTAAAAATAAAAATGTGACTCTCTCCCTGTTAGATTGTCAGTCTGCAAGACCAGATAGAAAAGGGTCCCAATGCCCAGCTGGCCCGTCTCCAGCAGGAGAACTCTATTCTCCGTGATGCTCTCAACCAAGCTACCAGTCAAGCTGAGAGCAAGTAAGCGTTTTTAAGTCAGGTTCACATTGAATGCATTATCAACAGATCTTCCCTTTTTTAAAAATGTGTTTGGTCTGAAAATGCTTTTCTCTTACTTTGTTCTGTCCCCAGACAAAATGCGGAGCTAGCCAAACTGCGTCAGGAATGTGCAAAGCTAACCAAGGAAGTTGGGGAGAAGACTGAAATTTTGCATGCTGATGAACACGTGAGGAAAGGGTTGGAGGCTAAGGTGTCTGCCACGGAGAAGCAGCTCTCTTTGCTGCAGGTTAGATCATTAGCGGTTTAATTTCTTTTTTCAACATTTGGTAAGATGTATTGGCAGATTACTAGCCTAAACTTTGCCTAATATGGGAAGTTAATTACTCTGACACCACCGACTGGGTTGGTATGCAAGCACACAAATACTAGAATTTGTCCAAGTGTCCTTCTTCATTATCATAGGTGTACCTCAAGGAACACACACACACACACACACAAATAGAATGCAGTGACAGGTTACTTTGCCACAAAAATTTGTATCTTGAGTTCTCCTGTCCTCTCTTATTTGCCACTTCTGGTCTGCTATCAGCTTCGGTTTATAGTATGTGGAGCAAATGAGTCAGCACTTCCTGGCAGTCAGATGTTTAGTTTCTTTAATCATTAACTGAATCTATTCCAGTTTTAGGTCTTTAAACCTGAATTAAATGTACAATGTAATTGATGTACTAGTAAATGACAATGCATCTGTGGATCTCACGTGTTTTCTGAAGCTGAGCAATTATTGGTCGTTACCTTACCCGAGCAACTGTGATGTAATTTTCAGTCGACGGCAAGTGGCAAAATGTCCGCCCTCTGAGATGGACAAAAACGGGTGGATTTTACTGCTTAATTCATTCCACATACATACATACATACATAAATACATACAATATTAATCAGAATGTTGTGTTTAGACTAGCTGGGCCGCATAGAACATATTCCTAAAAGAAAATGTTCGGATTGACTTTTGCCTTAAATGTATGAAATTTTGTTCAATTGAAATTGGAGGGAAATGCAAGAAAGTTAACATTTTGGTTTTAAGGTTTATAAAGGAACATCTTGAAATGTTAACAAGCAAGATCTAGTACACGGGTAACAACAAAAAAAAACATAAATGAAATGCGCCTCATCAATTTCAATGAATGCATTTGCAGCACAGTACTGTGTTCTTTAATTTCATCTTTACATCCCTTGTGTGCTTGGAGTTTGACTTCCAGAAGGATCACATACTTAGTCTTTTCTCCCTCCTGCTGTTTGACCTGTGTAAATTGTTTTTGACAATGTCAGGCCAACCACGTAGAGAGCCAGCAAGGGTTGCAGAGGAAATTGGAGGAGGTCTGTGAGGAGCTGAGAACTACACAAACTGCAAAAAACAACCTGCAGGATTCTTTGAAGAAGGCCCAGCAGGACACCAGCACACTCTCAGGTCAAGAAAGAATCAAATAAGCACAGCACTTTTTTTTTAAACTATGTGTGCATCATAAAACATAATTGCCATTTGAATGGCCTGTACTGACAATTCTGATCGTCCTTGTAGACTTTCAGATGCGAATGGGAAATCTTGAAGCTCAGGTCAAGGAGCGCGCTGCTCAGGTTAATGCTCTCACTGCTCAGCTGGAAGGAACACAGGTTGAGAAACAACAGCTCGTGCAACAGTTGGCATCCATCACCTCTTTGTTGGAGGCCAGTCAGAGTAAAAACGAACAGGCTCCTCAACAGGTGAGGTTTTGTTTTGTCGATTTCAGCTTTCCTGATTATTGACCACCGATTCACTAAGCATTGCATTTTTACTCAGCAGGTAAATGCTGAGGAACTGCAGCAATTAAAACTCAGGTACATGTTTATTTTTCTCAGTGTTTAATTAGACCCTGAACTATTTTGACAAATGCAGAGTTTGGTTGTTTTTGACTTTTAAACACCACCATAATAGCGCTCAACTAAACAGTCAATATGTGACTAAAGATTATATTTTCAGCTTTAAAGGTGCACTTTTTTCACAGTTCAAAATAGTTTACAGGTGACTTAATAAATGGTCTCTGACACTCCTTGTTAAAAGAATATGCAAAAGATGAAGAATGATGGTGATATTTGCCTGTCATACTCTGTTTCAAGTGTCTGATATTACGTAGTATAGTTTTCATTACCATGATCAAGCTGGGGCGATGCAACTTGGCCGGGTACTCGCATCATGACAATCAAGCTGTTTTTGTCCCTATTTTGCACTTTCCGACCAAGGACGTCAAACACCTGACAAGCTTATGTCTTATAAGATGGTATTGTAAAATTATTCTTCAGTATGAGGTGTGTTAAGATGGATTTGTCCTAATACAGTAATGGGGTCCAAAACCAGTCGGGGCAGACAGTGTTAAATAGTGAACGCCTCCAATATTGATGACCAAAAATCTTTCTGTGTTGGTTTAGGGAACCAATTTCTCCTGAGTTAGTTAATTCTGGAAACTGTGACGTGAATGTAGCAGTAGAAGATGCTTGACTGATGAAAAAGAAAGCGCTAGTAAATAAAACATAGTAATATTCTCCCCGATTTCAGAAACTCTTACTCGGGTGGCAGGTGTGCTTGAGCCTGTCCCAGCTATCTTCAGGGGGTAGGCATCAGACCCAATGTCGTTTGATGAAACGTCTTTTAAGATTCGAAAAATCCTTTTGTGTCTACCCATCCTAAGTGAGCCGACTCACTAGTGTACCAACTTGCCACTTGCGTCACTACCAACTTTTCCGTCCCCTCTGTGCGACAGTTAGAAGAAAAGAAAAAAAAGTGAGGAGCAACAAAATTGCTGTGTTGTTATTGTAGACTTCTGGAGACTCTGCCACCCTGCTGGGTCCAGACTGCAAATGAATGGCTCCTGCACAATGCCACTACTGGCTCATTTAAGACAAGTGCAGAATGGCTCGCGTTGACTCGCGTTCACTCGGTTGTGTAATTTCACACTTAATAGGTGTGCAGGCACTCCAGAGACCCAAAGATTTGTATACCGTACAATTAAAAATCAATGTTTAACATTGTCCAAACACCTCTGAATCGAACTGTACATGCCCTATGCAGCCTGCAGGAGAGGGATGACCAGTTGAGCACTCTACAGGAGGAACTGAAGCAATTTCAGATAAAGAAGGAGGCAGCGGTAAGTGCCCCCACATGAGCACGTACTCGGTGAATGGAGGCAATGAGAAATTCCCTCTATGCAAGATATGTCAAACAGAACCCAGGCTGTAGGAGTCAACAGTCTGCCTTGGTTAGTTGAATTGTGATGGAGAGAGAAGAGCAGGATAGCGGCAGTGAGGACCCAAGACAGCAGTGGACACAGCAACAGTATAGACAGCAGTAATATTAATATTCGCATGATGACAGCAGCAGCAGCAACGATACCGGTCCGCTACCAGCAGCACCTTTCCCAGCCTCACCGCCGTCAATAACAAGTAGATAAATGTTGAAGGGGTAGTGGCGCCTCCGCCAGTCACACCTCCAGAAGCAGAGAGTATAACGGCCACAAAATTTTAGATTGTGATCAGACATTGCAATCATTATACGCAAAGAGATGGTACAAGTAAAGGACACTAGAGTGAGTACACTTCACTACCTCCATGCAGAATAACAAATGGCCCATTTGGCTAATGTCACACCCTTTTTATTACAGCAATCAGATGTCTCTGCTGAACAAATAAAGAGCAGGTAAATGGCAGCGTCCAAAAAAATAAATACATCTGCATCCTATTTTTTTGGTCGAAGATTTAAATTCATGGTTGTGTTTAGTCTGACAGAGAAGGAAGCCCTCGTCACGTCCCTGCAAGAGCAGCTGAAGGAGTGGAAACAAAATGAAGTGAGCATGTCTGGAACACTTCTCATTGAGTACACGCTGCATTCCTCTCACTGTGCTGATGCTGTAATCCATTTTCAGGCTGCAATGATCCAGTTAAAAGATTTTCAAAGTGAAGCCAAAGAATCTCTCCAAAAACTCTTCCCTCTTATACCCCTAGAAACACAACAGGTCTGGAAGCTGCCTCTTAAATCCTTTTACCGAATTTGTTTAGAATTCAGATTATAATGTTGCTTCTAAAAGCCTGCTTACGCCTGCTTTTTCTGTGCACCTTCAGCCAAATTGGTTGCAGGGTTTTACGATGAAAGCTCAGGATGTTCTTAGACAGCAGAGCCAACAATCCCAGTCCAGGAGTCAAGAATCACCTGTAAGCCACAATCTTTTCACTGTCTCACATACTGATTACGGTACACATGATTGCATATGTGACAAAATGAATTTGTTTCAGGAGTTGCTTGAAAAGTTGAAGGAGGCTGAGGAGAACCACTCTACCATGCAAGCAGAATGTGAGCAGTACAGGACGGTTTTAGCTGAAACGGTAAAGGAATGATTGTAGTTGATATACAAACAGTTAAAAATGCCTGAAAAATGACACGAGCGCGTTGGCTGAGTTTGTCGTCGTTTCAGGGTATATTTATATTGACAGTTATTTGTCTCATTTTTGCTCTTCCACTGCAGGAAGGAATGCTGAAACATCTGCAGAAGAGTGTGGAGGAGGAGGAGTTAGTGTGGAAGTCGAAAATGATGAGCTCTGAGGAGCAACTGAAAGCAGTAAATAATATTTACCCATCTGAAATACTTTTTTTTTTTTTTTTTTTTTTTTTTTAAACAGCCGCAACACTTGAACCATCTTTGCTTTTTCTCTAACAAATTGTATCACATTTGTTACCAGGCTTTGGAGGAAGTACACAAGCTAGAGTCAGAAAAGCAAAGTATAAAGCAGGTTGGTTAGTCCCACCTATCCCTCTGCCGGCACAAACGTCCATTTTAAGAATAAAAACAATGTGTAAACTTCCTTCTCTGGGAAACTGCTTGTGTGTTGCAGTTGAAAGAGCAGATGATGCTTCTGGAGGCACAGCTGGAGAAGCAGTCAGATAACCATTGCCTCGCCGAGGAGATGGAACAGGTAGCGTTTCAGAAAGCTTCTCGAGTAAAACGTCTCCATACGTTGCATGACACAATGTGTTCTGCGGGTCTGTGTTCAGCTAAGATTGCAGCTGTCTGGCAGTCAGAACCAGCTGGACTTGGCCCACAAGGAGGTCCAGGCGCACAAGGAGGAGCTTGCTCAGGTTTTTTTTTCTTTTTCCCATTCTCGACCCCAACTTTACCGCTTGGAATCATACTTGTTCATTTAGGGTGTGCTCATATTTGAAATAATTTATTTCCCTGGTGCGAATAAAAGCAGAAAATAGACATGCAGAAGGTTTTGCGTGACAAATTTGATCCTCGTTCATTTGGCATTATGCTGTCATTTTTAGCCCTTTTCCCACAATTTTCCCAATGTTATCTTCCTCCAGAGATGGAACTATAACTGAGTTGTTTCCCAAGCTTTATTGAGCCAAGGCAGATATTTTACATGAGAAAAATCTGACCAAAATGTCCGGGTTGTCTTCATAACATACCTTGGCAGAATTTGCAAGATATTGTCACCTTTGAGAAAACATGACTGATCTTGCAGGAAAATGTTTTTATTGAGGGATCGTGGTCAGGTGTAGCCATTTATCATCACGTCATTGTGTGTGCCATTTTTAAATCATAATGATGACTGAAATCACCTAAATGGGCCTGATCCAAAGTTTACATACAGTTGATTGTTTGACCTGACAATGTTCACTCATGTTGCAACACAGGTTTAAATTGCTCTCAGGAGTAAGTTCCCACATGTAACTTGTTTGATTGGAATTGTTTGTCTTTATAGAAGTAGTCAATAAGTGTATGTGAGAAATCCCTGAATTTTGATGTCGGGCACGTCCAGTAATTATCTGATTGCTGGATCCTGTGTGAAAACACGACAGAAATGCTGTTTCGCCGGGTTCTGTACAAAAGGTACAAGCTGAGTTGATGCTGCCATAGTGGGGTTTTTTTTTTGGGGGGGGGGGTCTCTGTGTAAAAGGGGTTTTTAACAGCAAACCAAACATTGCCCAGTAAAAAGCATCTGCATAGACAAAGAGAGCCAGAAATGTCAACGATGAACCCACCCTTCTCGAAAAGGCCTCCCGAATGTGAACGAGCGATTGCCGAAATGTCACTGATGTCCAAGAGACGGGGTGTCACAGTAGAATGTTATGTACAGTGAACTGAGTGCGTTGTGTGTGTGACAAGCAACAACTTCCCATTTCAGGTCAGAGAGCAGCTGAGCCAAGTCGCGTTGAGCGGCCGGCGAGAACAGAACGGCCCCACAGAGGCTCAACCTAGCCAGGTCAGGGTGCAGCCGTCACAGGGCACCCTTGGGTCACTGCTTGTCAGAGCGTACAGGACAGTAACTCCCCCAAACAATGCTTTTGATTCAGGCTAATCGTTAAAAAATAAATAACACTACCATTTGACCGTTTGAAATCACTTAGGAATGTCCGTATTTTTGAAAGAAAAGCAGGTAACATTAAATGAATAGGATATAATCTACTGTAGACATTCATTTGTGGTGTTTTAACAGTGCTTTTCTTTTAAAAAATTTGAACATTTCTAATTGACTTGCAAACATTTGAACAATAGTCTGTATACACTACTGTTAAAAAGATTGGGTTTAGAGTTTCTGTCCAGTACTGCTCTGACACTCCCAAGTCTTTATGCTAACACTTGGCAGTTAGTGTTAATGTGCGCTCACCACTAACCACTCGCCTCTTTTATGGCATGCAAGCTTCCGATCCACTTGTTTGTTAAGATGACCGTGAGGAGAGCATTGTTTGACTAAAGCCCTTCGCCGAAAGACCACTTACAGGTTGAGCAGTTTTTGTGTACGGGTGTGTGGCGCTAGTTTCGCACAAGAATGTTTGCTGACACACACACACACACACACACACACACACACACACACACACACACACACACACTTATATTAAAGGTCTCCGTGTGTCACCAGGTTTTGTCAGAGTTGAATCAGACAACTGAGAAGCTGCAAGGGGAGACAGCTGCAAGACAGAATCTGTCAGAAGAGTTTCAGCAGGTAGAAGCCAGTGTTGGTTTATCCCACATTTTTCTTCTTTTATACAGATGTCCTTGCTTGTCTCATTGTGGATTGGTACAATTAAAAAAAAAAAAAAAATAGATTATGATTCAGTTTGTAGCTTCTCCCAATATGACAAATTATGGAAGATGTTTTGAAGAAGTTGTGCTAAGAAAGAAACACATTCTCGCTATCGCTAGCCTTGTGTTTCCAAAATCATGGCTTTTCAGAAAAGCCAAACAACTTGTCGCTTAATTTTCCAAACATTGCATTATTCAGACTGGCATTACACCTTTTGGCTCTTGGTATCGTATCCTGTTGTCCACTGACATCAGCAGAACACGATCAACACCACCCCAAAATCATGTTCAAGCACTAATTTCCTGTGCTTTAATTGATTTAAATGGTATGACTGATCACCAGTACAAGTTGTCCATAATCGTCTGCACTCAGGCTGACCAACCCTACGAGACAAAACTCTTTTGTTAAATCATCACATCTTGTCAAACTCTTTTTCAAAGGCCTTCATCACAATAAAAAAATTGAAGCATTACAACAAAAGATTTTTGACAAAACAGGCTTTTATCAAATGCCTAACTTATTTAAAAGCAGCTTTATGACACTCAGAGCTGGCTCAGTGTCCAAAGGAATTAATAGAGTGGTTCTTAAGTTATTTTCAATATTTTGTTCAGAATTTTTTGTTCATATTTTGCATCAAAATAACTCACAAGTAAAGTACAAGCAAATTGTATCACTTTGTGAAAGAAATTATTTGGGAAATTATCCATAGTTGGACATGCGAAATGGAGGGAACAAAAGTATTTGGGAATGAGCTCCTTTTCTTTTATTTTTTTATTTATTTATTTATTTTTAAGCCAGGAGAATTACTTTTGGGGCAGCCCATTTTGCTAATTTATGTGTGTTTGTAGGCCCAAGCAACCATCACAGAACTTCAGGCTCAACTGGATCTTCTGAAGGATTCAGCAGAGTCGCAACAAGGTGACTCAGAAGCTGTTGCTCAGCTCAAGGTGGGGGTCATAATCCAGTTTCCAACAATGTGATGGGGATACTTCATTTGACTTTCTCTGCAGCATCTGACATGTTTTACAAGAGTTGGCTGTAGGATCCTTTTTTTTGTTTGTTTATTTTTGAGTTTTGACCAAATTGAGTAACCAGAGGAATGATACTGTGAAACATAATAACTGGGGAAAAAATATATATTATTTGTGAGCAGGGAGAACGCCCTGTGTATTTGCCAGTGCTATGAATTTTGCCCCGCATCATGTTACACCTCTTGAAAGACTCATCTTTTTCATTCTGGCCTGTCAGTTCAACTTGAGTGAAACATACTGCGATTCGCTTTGCCCACATTTTACCTCATTAAATGTCAAGAATACATGAAAGTGTTCCTTAGAAACGTCCCCCCCCCCCCCACCACCACCACCACCATTGGGAGGGTCCAGAAGGAAAGGTCTGACGCTGCTCTCCCTGAAGAGTGATCATGGGCCAAACTAGCCAGCAGAAGGCAGCAGTGCACCATTTTTAAGATTTAAAATGACCTCCGTTTCCCAACTGTTTCCCGTGAGGAAAGGAGGATTTGACTGAAGTGCGCAATAGACCTCAACGACAACTTTCAGTTGAACATTCTGAAATATACACTAGAACGGGAACCACATACAGAACGTAAATCATTCCGAGTCTGTGTTATATGTATGAAATTATATGATATGCTGACCACTTGTGCATGTCATCTTGGTGTGGCAAAAAAGCTGAAAAAAAATTAAAACACGATGCAGCGATCCCCGACTCGAGATTCAAGCTCGAAAGTTGTGTGTGATTTTAGAAGCACTTGTGCTTTGGATAGAATTCAAAATTGTACAACCTTGGGAGCATTTGACTTTTGAGTTTCTGCTATAGCAGTGATTTGCCTCTACTGTTGTGATAGGAACGTCTGGAGAAGGAGAAGAAGTTGTCCAAAGACCTGGGACAGGCGGCCACCAAGCTCCAGCAACTTCTCAAAGCCTCACAGGAGCAGCTGAGTAAAGAGCGAGAGACGGTTGTAACACTACAGGGACACCTAGACGGCAAGGTAAGCTCACACGGGGGACGCGCACACTTGCATACGGCACATGCAATGATGCTTCGCTTAGTGTGACTCAATTTTGCCCCTTTCTCTTGTCAAGGGTGAATACGTGGAATTAAAGGAAGGAACATCCGTCTGAGAGGAAGATCAGTGTATGGATATCAAACCAAATATGCCTTATGAATACCATAGTTATGCATTCCAAAACAATTTCTTTATTGTACTGTAGTTTTTTTTTTTTTTTTTTTTTTTAATAATGCCAGTAATCAAATTATTTGATATTAGCATTATATTACTATAGGAGGCAATCATGCTGCAATCTTGACTGAAAACCCACATTGCATCAACAGTTCTGACTATATCAGGAGATGTGTACTCCTGCCTTTTAGTCCAAATATTTGCCCATGGTTCAGTGTTAAAAGGGAAACCGAGTGTACGTTAAACGTACATCTACCTGTGCAATTACTTTGTATGTTTGGGTTTTTTTTTTCTTTATGTGCTTTACTGATGGTAATACTTCAGTTACAAGTGCTTTGGGCCTGCTTCTCTCCAGAGCGGGCCACCAACTTAATTAAGTTGAATTTGTATGGATGAATAAACTACAGTGTAACTATGTAACTGATAGTCTGTGTGATTGTTCTGACTGCTGAAGCAACATGAATATTCTAACAATTTTCCCCCCAACTAGGGTAGTAATATTTGCACAAAATATTTGAAAACGTATGAATTTAAAGACAAAATTCAAATATGCAATGTTAAACTGAGTCTTAAACATGACATGAACCTCTCAAAATATCTTTATTGAATAAACAGAATCATATTTGTGGTACATTGCGTACTTTGTAGAGTAACTAATAATGTTCTCTCAAATTAAGTCACACACCATATCCAAAGGATAATGCATTCAAAAACAAACCAAATATTCATTAAAAGGCGTAGTCTGCAGTTTAAAAAAAAATCCTTGCCATATTTGTTTCAACCTTTCAGTTATATTTGTTAAAACTGTCAGTTTCGGCCGGACAGTAGTGTTTTAGTAAAAAGTGATCTGTAGAAAAAAATGATAATAATAATAATCACTATCTGACCCCATCTTATACCTATTTGATCTGAAACAACTACACCAACGTGAGACAGAGGTCGTGACCTACAGGACGAAGTGTCAATCATTTGATGTCCACTTGCGCCACGTTTATTGCTACTCTCCGGCACACCCCCGCAGCCTCATTCTGGTCTATTAGCTGGGGCTTTAAGAGCTTTGCTGAAACTATGGTGAAATATCCACCTCTGAGAAATTAGAAAAGGAAAAAAAAGGCCAATCCGTTATTTTCTAACAAGTACGGATGAGACGAGCCAAAACAAGGGTCCTCAAGGAACCTCAGGCAGGATTCAGAAGAAGCGCCAAATTAGCAACGTTGCTGTTGGACAGGTAATCTTTAACCCGTTTTTGATTTGTAATTAATTTTACATTCCTAACAATACACTTTCAAAAGGACAACATTAAATGTTCTAATTCTAATAATGAATATGAATAAGTATTGCTACCAATGTAGCAGCCGTGGTTAACGTTGGCTTATTTACAGTGCTAATGTTCGCTTAGTATGAACGCGGCCATTTTGTCGATCAGAACTGCATTTTCATCAGTGCATGCCATGATGAACGGGCATGTGTGAGAATTGCGCTTGTGACACAGACATCGAAAAATAACCTGGATGCATAAGGCTATGAAGTAAGGCTACATTCAAGTTTTGCTAGTGGTTTTAAAACTGCAAACTCCCACTTTAAGAGCTGCTGCTGGTGGTGGTGGTTCTTTTCATTCTTTTTTTTTTTTTTTTTTTTTTTTTTTTTTAATATACAGTCTGAGCAGCTCCTCTATAACATGGATAATTCCAGCCACTGGGAAGAAAAACAAGCAAAGAACACAAGCACAAAAAATGTTATTGTCAAATATATCTTCATATTTTGATCCCACCATCCCCGAGAGCCTCATACCTGAAAGTAATTCAATTCTATCACACCCGAACCGTTGTCTATGGATTTGAATGCGTCTGTTGGGAAAGGAAAGTTGCATTGAATTGTTTTTAAAAATGTGCTTGGATATTGATGCAAATTTACTGCATATTTATACTGTAACATTTTAGACAAAAATGTTGAGAGGCCAGACTCACTGAAAAGCGACTCTAAGCGGATCAGGCAGCACACAAAGTTGTCAAAGTCTATGGTGTAGCTTGGTTCCCTGTAGCGAGCAACAATGATCTGGTGCAAGGCGTTGTTGAGTGAGAAACCTGCAAAAGTGCAACATCGGATTTAAAATAAAAGTTAAAAAAAAACTCCACCTGCCACAAACCACACATGCTTAAACGGAGTCTATGTGAAGTCTTGTACATTAGATTGACTGGTAATTTATATTGTTGTCAAAACATGATCCTACATTATTTAAAATGGACTCACCAGCGACTTCCACTGCTGACCGCATTTCAGCAGAGCTCATGCATCCGCTATTGTCGACATCTTTTTCCCGGTAAATGTCCTAATGGTAGAACCAAACAGCTTGTTAACTGCAAGCAACCACCATTCTAACTACCGGTAAATATGTCAGATCTCTAACCACCACATTATATAACAAAATTGAATGAGATCCAATACAAGATCAAATATTTCATTTTAACTGCCCCTGCAAGATATTTTAACTGTTTTATAGTGTGGAAATAGTTGTTAGTGTAGAACAGGACTGCATTACACAGAATTTCTATCTCATGAACACTTCTAATTACAATGCAGTGTCATTATACATCTCAGTCCAAACTGAGCATTAACTCTTTCTGGAAAGGCAAAATATTTATTAGAGGTGTATATAATGCTGTGTTCTGTAAATGGACATAACACACTAACAAAAAAATAATAAGGGGAGGTTACCAAAAACTTTTCGATCTTGGTCCACAGAATCTTAAACTCCACCAGTCCTAGTTTGCCGCTTCCATCTTTCTTTGAAGAGATTGTTAAAGTTAATCTACACAGAGTAATTTCTTCAATGCAAACTAATGATGACAAGACAAACTGAAAATCATGTGCTGCTGGGAGCTCTGGTACCATCCCACCTAAGCGATGGAAACAAGCCAGATCGGGAATTAGTTAGCATCCAACTTGTTGGAAACACGGCTAAATCCAAAGGATACATCAAGCAGATTGATCATGTTGCGGCACGTAGTCAGGCTGAACCCGTCAGTTTTGATGTCTCCGCCTGTAAATGGAACAGCAATCAAGTTCTTGGTGTCAGGCGGTGGTAACTCTGTTTATAGAATCCGTTTGGAAACAAATGATTCTTTTCTCTTACGCTTTCCCACCACTTTGTTGAGGATTCTCTGCAGCTCAAAGGCAGAAATCTCCACATCCTAAGAGTCGGATTGGAATGTTTACACTTCGATGCGTATGCTTTGATTTATCCACGAGAAAGAGGGAAAAAAAAAACTATTCTAAAAAGTACTTCGAGTTGAAACATTAAAATACTGATGACTCACATGTCCGGCCAGCTGTCCAAACAGTCTCTTGAATCTGTCATCAATATCGCTTTCATCGATGTCAATCTAAGGATGACCGTTAGTAAATATTGACAGTAGAAATGTCATGATTTCGATCTTTGGCATTCTGAGCCAAACTATGGCAGTGAAATGATTTTACCTGTTCAACATGGCAGTCAACTGGATCGTCAATCTCCCTAAAGAAAGGCAAAGGTCACCGCGTGACTTTTTCTGTGATCATTCATTTAGGGACTAAAAATTGCGCCTTAATTATACATACTGAAAGTTCGCCGGTTTCTCAGAGAACATCCTTATGTAAAAGTCTCCGTTCTTGTTGGGCTCAAAGGTGGAGGGAACGATGAGGTATTCCCCGGGGGGTAGATGGTGACGGCTGCACACCTCTCGGAGATTGATGAAGGTCTCAGAGCGCGCAGCTGAGCGGTTAGCCAAGAAGAAATTTTTTTTCAGGTGCACTTGCTTGGCGCCCCAGTACTGGAAAGTGACGTGTAGAAAATTCACCATTGCGGTGTAAAAATGTAACACTGATGGAACATTTTCAACGACCGTAGCAACAAGTGTTTCAGAAAAACACATTTGTGAAGTGGCTGCTTTTTTGTGCTCGTACCTCCTTAGGCAACTGGAAAAAAGACAAAAACAAATCCACTATAAGAGAAGAGGGTCAATGATTTGTAGTGTCAAATTGATTTGAACCTCTCGTGTTGTTCACCTCATACATGAGGAAGCCAATAGTTTCCATGTCCTCCCCCATTTTTCTCCTGCGACGCTTGTCCTTCTGCATCAAACCCACAATGAATGTGCAGCCGTCTTTTCCGTCATAGGGGTCATCATCCACCTCATCCAGTTTTATGACAAACTGAGGATTTGTCCAGAAGGTATCTAAGCAAGCATAGAACAACAGCATTTTAGTATCATCAACCCCTCCCCCTTCACCCCCCCAAAAACCTCATGGAACATTGTAAAACAAAACAAAAACTACATCGTATAACTCATGTCATGTACTTGGATAGTTTCTGCAGCCACCGGCAGAAACTCCGATTCTCCACGTTTCTTCAAACTCTGTCTCCGCCCACTTCCTATACTCCGATGTTAGGGCATCAGGTGTGAGGTTACAGATCTCCAGCCGGGAATATTCTCTCAGAAAGTCAGAAAATGACATCCTGTCGTCAGAGCAGGAAGAAGATGAGCACAAAAAAGTGACAACTAATTCCAGTGAAAGAAACAGTATTTGAGTTCACCCACACAAGCTATTGAGATCCAATAACAGCATGCCTGTAATCAGCTATAAGGTCTTGGAATTTCAATGACTGTAATGTGTGATCGATTACCAGAACTCCCCATCTTCTCTGCGGTTGGTCAACCTCTGGCGGTCATCATCGCTTACAGATCTCCACACAGAGGACCTAGAAAAATGACATGTAAATTCTCAATTTTGGGGGGGAAATTTTGATGCTTTTCATTGGACAGCAAAATTTTGCTCAATCTCTGCATCCATTCAATTTCAAAGTATAGGTTTGACATTAATGTCAAAGAAAATCAACACAACAGGCAACTCCCATGCAGGAATCAGTCAACTATAAAACAAAATATCTGGAATGAAAAATCGCAAACTATTCAAACCCTGGTTCCTAACTGATATAGTTGCCAAATGGTTTATGAAAAAAGAATCATTTTATTTGATTTAATGTTCAATTGTGATATTGTGTAGAGGTTTTAGGCAGTCTGTTTCCTACTCACTTGTCACTCCAGTCTCCATTCCACTCCACCTCACCCCATGGATTTCTAATTCTGATCAGCTTTTCCATGCCTCCTCTGTACTTCACCTGACACATAAAAGGTGCACGTTACTCCATTTAATACGGAAATTGAACATCTTGTCAAGTGTGTTTGCCATTTAACCACCTGGAGTTCTATCTGATATCTTAAGCGTAACCAATCCTTGTGGGCGGACTCTTTACCTGCTCAGCTCCTGTCACAGAGTAGGCGTGACCCTTCACCAGCTTGCGATATGTGACGGCTTCAGAGTCAGCTGCACTGGTGATCTGGATTGAACAGAAGCTTCAGCAACAATAGGGATAGATAGCGACCA